GTTCATAAACTTCTTGAAATCCATTGGTGTAGGCCTGACCTGAAGGAGGTTATCTGTGAATCTACAAACTTCTCTGGTGCAGCTGGAAAAGCTTGAATGTCCCAGGAGAGGAAGAGCTGCAATTTGCAACCCTCACCAATTTTAGCTGCCAGAGAGTACGTGAGGTCTGTCAGGAGCCTGCAGGCAATTGCAACCTCTGCTGAAGGATTCCTGGTGACTTACAGCTCCTGTCAGGTAACAAGGATCCTCCTGGGTCACTCACAAACCCTCTGCTCACCATCTGACCCACCTACAGTTCCATGTAGGCAGTGAGGCTCCAGCACCAGAGACCTCTACCAGCCCAGCAGGAGCAGTATCATGGTCCTCTGTGGGGGCAAAGCAGCTCCAGCACACAGCCCACCAGCATCAGACACACATTTTCAAAATCATCATCCTTTCACCAGGGATAGAACCAGGATGGGGAAAGGGAACAGCACAGAAGGCCCTGAAATTCTCAGTGTGCTAAAACATAGTCATCAGAGGTTCATAGCAAAACGTGAAGGAAAGCAGGTTTCTTGGAGACTTCTCTCCAAAGGGCCACCTTCCAAAGAAGCAGCAGGGGTTCTGGCAGATGGAGCCTTCATGGAAATCCACAACACATCAGCAGCACATATTAACACACAGATCAAACGGCTTCATTGCTTTGAGGTTTCATTTCTGCAGACCCCATGAAAACACCTTCATCTTCCACATGATCACTGTTGCAAACTATCTTAGGATAGTGAACGATCCAGGGTAAGCTACCCTGTCTGCTGATACACTGGGGTTTTCTTTCTTCACATCTAAGAGAATGCTGGGGGAGGAATTAATTTAAGCTACACTCTAAAGCAAGAACTTGCCAAGCTGGCTCCTATCCAAACTGCACTATCTTTACTACCTTGCATCTCGTGCAGGTTCCTCCAGCCTCTGCTGTTTTCTCAAAGAAATACTGAATGGTTACGTGTGTGAGAGACTTCCCTGACACCATTCTCCAGCATTAATCCAAAAGGAGCTGTATTCCATGCTTTGTTTTCCACCCAAAGGGGAGGAACAAGGCTCTGCCAGTGGGCAGTGCAGGGCTTGAGGGGTTCCTGCACTCTTCTGAACGAGACCATCACAGACTGCCCTCACAGCCATAATTAACACCCCTGGTTCTAATTGGGGAGGGTGTTGTTTCTGGTGTCTCTAAGTGCCAGTCATGCTGTGGTTACAAACAGGGCTGCAAAGAAGAGTTATTTTAAAAGAAGATCCCACACCATTCCCAGAGTGGAGGAGCCTTATCAGCTGCCTGTGGCACAAAGCTCAACTGCTGAAACTGAGGACAAAAGCAGATGGAAATGAACTGGGGGAGGAAAAAACCCAAAGAAGCAAACATTTCAAAGAACCACACATTTTCAGTTTTTGTAGTGCTGTTTTTACCATGGAAAAGTGGAACAAATTTAATCCTTAGCATAACTCTAAATTGTACATATTACCCAGAGAAAGGGAGATAATATATTTTAGTTAGTAATGCCAGAAAAATCAATTAAAAAAAAAAAAAAGCCGGACACCTTTGGCCATTGAAAGCAAATGAAATGGGACTTCCAATGACTGGAAAGCCTGGGGGAGGCAATGTGTTATCAGTCCCGGGTCGGTGTCTGCTACTGTAATCTTGCCCCCACAGATAAATCCCGTGTTCGGCTTCCTAAAGTGAACCAGCCCACGGGGGCATTTTGCTCGCTTTAAAAATAAAAACCTAGCTAAAAAGAAGAGAGGGGAAACCCCCTTTCAGCTGTCACCCAGCTCCATCCTGGGTGAGAAAGCAGCTCTCCCTGCCTCCTGCGGCAGGGCACACGCTGGCCCGCGCTTACCTTGTAAAAGCAATTAAAGGCGGTGTGCGCTCGGTGCTCGGCGGCTCCAACACGTGTGTCACCCGTGCTTCGCCATCAGCATGTATGGCTCATCATCTGTCTGCTCTGAACAATAACTGTTAGGTTAGCAGCCTTTTCACTTGTAAATGTAAATATTGTATCTAGAACACAATATTTGAAACACAAAATACAGTGTTATTAAGACAGCACTCACACATCAATTCTTGTGTGACTATAATTTGTGAAATGCCTTAGGAGGGGCTTATAAATAAAGTATAAGGTGTTATTATGAAATACATTTTAACCAAATGCACAGAAATGTCTCATTCCTATTGAAATCAATAGCAAAACTCCCACTAATTTCAGTGGTGAAAAGAGGAGACCCTTGGAAATTGCTGTGTTACACTGAGCAAATACATCACAGCGGATTTCAGTCTTCACAAGTATTACAGCTCTGGAAGAAAAAAAAAGGGGGGGTGGTGAAAATGGG